AATTATGATATTAAGTCAAAATTATGAGATGGTCAAAATATTGAGATGGTAAGTCACAATTATGAGATAAGTTAAAATAATAACAGCCAAAATTACAGGATTCAAAATTATGATAGTAAGTCAATATTATGATGGGAAGTCAAAATTCTGATAGTAAACCAAAATTATGAGAGGGTAAGTCCTAATTATGATGGTAAATCAAAATTATGATCTGTCAAAATTATGAAATAAGCAGTCAAAATTATGAGATGATCAAATTTACGAGATCATTAGTTAAAAATTACAATGGTAAGTCAAAATTATGATAGTCAAAATCATGAGATAGTAAGTCAAAATTATGATAGTTAAAATTATGAGATAGTAAGTCAAAATTAATATAGTAAGTCAAAATTATGAGATGGCAAGTCCTAATTATCATAGTAAATCAAAATTATGATATAATATGTCAAAATCATGAAATAATAAGTCAAAATTATGAGATAATAAATCTAAATTATGAGATCATAAGTTAAAAACTATGATGGTAAGTCAAAATTATGATAGTCAAAATCATAAGATAAGTCAAAATACTATGTAACATAACAATATTATGATAGTAAGTCAACATTATGAGATAGTAAGTCAAAATTCTGATAGTAAACCAAAATTATGAGAGGGTAAGTCCTAATTATGATGGTAAATCAAAATTATGATCCGTCAAAATCATGAAATAAGCAGTCAAAATTATGAGATGGTCAAAATTACGAGATCATTAGTTAAAAATTACGATGGTAAGTCAAAATTATGATAGTTAAAATTATGAGATAGTAAGTCAAAATTGTGATAGTAAAAATTATGTGATGGCAAGTCAAAATTTATGAGAGAGTAAGTCAAAATTAATATAGTAAGTCAATATTCTGAGAGGGCAATTCCTAATTATCATAGTAAATCAAAATTATGATATAATATGTCAAAATCATGAAATAATAAGTCAAAATTATGAGATAATAAATCTAAATTATGAGATCATAAGTTAAAAATTATGATGGTAAGTCAAAATAATAACAGTCAAAATTACAAGATAGTCAATATTATGATAGTAAGTCAACATTATGAGATAGTAAGTCAAAATTGTCATATTAAGTCAAAATTATGACAGTAAGTCAAGATTCTGAGATAGTCAAAATTATGAGACAGTATGTCAAAATTATGATAGTAAACCAAATTTATGAGAGGGTTAGTCCAAATTATGATAGTAAGTCAACATTATCAGATAGTAAGTCAAAATTTATGAGAAAGTAAGTGAAAGTTCTGAGAGGGCAATTCCTAATTATGGTAGTAAATCAAAATGATATGTGTCAAAATCATGAGATAATAAGTCAAAATTATGAGATAAGTAAAAATAATAACAGTCAAAATGACAAAATAGTCAAGATTATGATAGTAAGTCAAAATTCTGGTGGTAAGTCAAATTTATAAGAGGGTAAGACGAAATCATGAGAGGT